TTGATGTACCCTAACGTGGCGCGGCCCCTAACGTGGCGCACTTTTATTTTTCGCCTGTAGCGCCTAGCTAGAGCAAAAGTTTTAACTGAAATTTCACAGAAAGTGAAATTTCATCAAGTTCTAAACACTCCCGTTCATAAATCGCGAGTTTATTTACCCGCTACAAAGTTAAAAGAAAAAAATATTTTGGCGTGATTTTCCGATTTTATTTTCAAGTTCAAAGTGAACCCTTTGAAAATGCCCCGAAAAATAAGAAAATAATTTTCTGACAAACATCTGGCTGGGTTTGTAAGTAAAGATAATAATGATTTATCAGAATTTATCAAGTTTACAGAAATTCTTAAATGTTAATTTGGAATTTTCTGAGATTTATTCAAGTGCGCCACGTTAGGGAACACTCCGCCAATTTGTGCCCAATTTCCGGACGCGACCGTTTTTGCATTTCGGATTAAATTTTATGAAACCGAAATTGTTCACAGAGGTTAAATAACAAGCGTTAATAAGGTAAAAGTACCAGTATTTCACTGCATGAATTTGAAGTTTATCAACAAAGAGGTTTGGCAACACTACACGAGGAAAGTTGGGTAAGCTTCGAAGTGCGTCACGTTAGGGAACACGACTATACTTGTCTTTCAATTGGTTGTAATAAAAATCGTACATCAACGTTTTAGAAAGATCCAAGACACTCACACCGCAGTAAATTGGTTTGTTTATTGTCGTTTTATATTTTTCGACAAATGACAAGTCACATTCTGGAAATGGCGTCGTTGTTTTGTAGCTCAGTTTTTTAAATTATTTTTTCGTATTTTGCTTGATCGCTCTCGTTAATGTCTCTCAGTAGGTAATGTTTTCCATCGTCTTGCCAAACACGCTCTTTCTCAAAATCAGAGGTCGCTTTTGTTCGGAGTTGCGTGTTTTTATCGATGTAAGATTTCATCCAAGGTGCTTGCTTAAATTTTAACACGCGATGTACCTTTTTTGTTTTAAACCGAGATTCAAATACAACTACAACGTAACATAGTGCAACACGTATTTTTGTACGTGTACGCTTAGTACACGTTAATTTTTGTACGTGTACGCTTAGTACACGTTAATTTTTGCACATCGCTACTAGGTTCAGTATCCAATAAATCATTTTGATAATCAGACATCCAAGCTTGGGGTATGACGATATTTTCGGGTGCTAGGGGATAATCGTTATGCTTGGCGTGTAGATCGTGCGGGTATTCTAAATCTACTTCAAAAAAGTAACCGGTGTTTGACGTTTTCTTAAGCGTTAATATTCTTTCTTCGGTAAACGGTTTTGAGGCTGTCCATTTAAAATCTCTGTACGGTAGATATTGACTCATAGCCCAACCGTACAGATTGTTGGCATCCAGATAAGCGATATAACTCGACGGCTTGTTTGAATCGTAGTCATCGAGATATTGATTATTGGCTTTGTGATGTCTCATTCCACCCACGCTAGATATTCCTCCTCGATTTGCTTTTTAAAAAAATAAATGTTTGTCGACGTCTTGCAACAATTTGAGTTTAGCTTCCGAGTGTTTCAACAGAGCATCCCACGACAATCCGGGTGCTGTGTAATAGTTTGCTGGATCTAACCCCGTAGTTTTCTATGCACGTTCTGCTAAAGTTTTCAAATACGCCAGCGAGTAATAACGTGTCGGTAGTCACGTACAAGTCGTGATATTCTCCTAGAGTTTGTATATTAAACTCGTTCCACACTCGTTGAGCTATGTCGTAGTCCTGTTGCGATATATTTTCGTCTTTTAGACTACTGTCAAACTTGTCGATGGGTGGTAGGCTGGTCTCTTTGAATTTATCGAACGAATTCATTTATTCGTAAAGATTAATTCCTTTTTGTAATAACGAGTCATGATTTTTAAAATGCTCTCTGAGTACATTAAAAGACTCTTTTGGACAAGCTTTCACTAATTTATCCAACGACGCTGTCATAAAACTAAATGAGTCTAAAAATCGTAGATTTCCTATCAAAAACGAAATATACTTTTCTGAATTTTTAGCGATAACTTTTATATCTGTTTCGCTATCGTATTCCGTCATACCCTGCATGATTAAATGCACGTCGTAATTTTGTAAATTGTGAAAAAAGACAGGTATCGGAGTACAACCAGGTTTAATTCGTAGTTTGAGGTTACAATGGGCGTGTGCGGTACCTCTATATTTACCCATGACCAGTGTTGGAGGTCTCGACCAAAGTCTTCGTCTCGAGACTAGTCTCAAGACCATTTTGTTCAGGTCTTGACGATTTTGAGGTCTCGCAATGTTGTGATCTCGGTCTCGACTCCAAATGTCTCGGTCTCGGACAAGGGTCTCGGATCAAGACCTTGACGAGACCTGTTAAATATTCTGGAGTATTCCAGAGTGTTTGAAGACAATTATTTGATTAACTGCTTTTGGAGTCGACACTACCAGGGCAAATCATAACGTATAGTGCATGTCAAAAGAATTTTCGCAGAGAGAGCACGCTTATCGCTAGCATGTCGCGGCTCGGTTAGTAGCATGGACTGTTTGTCATGTCATTGATCTCGAGCTGGGTTCTGAGAGCTTATGCAGTTTTGGACAGACAATCGTGTCAGATACCCGACATTGTATAAACTTGCCCACACAGGGCTAGATTGTCAGCAGATAACTTAACAAAGTTGATGTTCTTTAAGTGCAATGAGGACATTCTGCAGAATTGCTATAGCCTTCAATACTACTACCAACTTGCTGAGATAAACCTGTATTTTGCTATAAATTCAATTGGGCATGTCCCATTTGTTGCACTTCAGTTCTGTTGCACTCTAAACATGTTCAAAGACCCACAGACAGCACACACCTGCATGAATTAGTCAAACCATTAGAACATCAAACCATTAACAAAATCTTGCCAAAATGTACCTGGCTATTTTTTAAAGGCATGGTACAGCATTAGTTTTTTTTTTACGTTTTGAAGAGTTTTGGCATTAAATTTGCATTGATATGTGCACACGTTATACATGTCGTGTATAATCAAACAGGTATAAGCACCCTCTTTTATGTTGTTCGTATTATACGTCATATATTTAAAAACACTAAAAACAATTTCCAATCTGTCTTTACACCCAATTGATCCATGTTAAACACAGAATTTCAACATAATTATTTTGCTAGTCTCGCATATCAACCACGCCACAAGTTTCCATAATTGATACAAACTGGTGGTCTACTGCTGTCCAATACCCTAAACAAGATTTTCTCGAGTGATAATCTTCAACTAAATAAGAAGAGTACGCAACTGGGAATTTAGAAAAAAAATCCAAACCACACAAGACTTTGTAGAGTATTTTTCAATTTGTAATGAGAAGTAAAACACAAGGAAATCAGCGGATCCAAGGAAAAGTTGCATGCCAACAAAATAAAACCACCAGTGATTGGAAACTGTTTTTAGTGTTTTTAAATATATGACTGTTTAATATGAACAACATAAAAGAGGGTGCTTACCTTATTATAAAATTGTTGATTACAGTCGATATACAGTAACACGTTAAAAGTGCAGTCTAAATAAAAATACGTCCGTTCAAGCTGAAATCTCATGTACAGTATGTCTGAGTATTGTACAATACTACATGCAGTATTGTGCAATCAACATTCTGTGACTATGCGTCACAGGCACAGAAGCGTGACGCATTTTTGGCACTGCTCTATATGTAAAGTCGATTATTTTTTTGTGTCAAAAACGAAAGTTCATATAGCGCTCAAGGTTGACCATGAAAATATTGAGATGACATCTCAATACTCTCGGGTTGTACTTGTTTACGTTTATAATCTTTAAACCCCAATTTGTTTCTAGTATATTCTCTTCCTTTAATACCTCATTCGTTTGCATTTTTCTCTATACTCGATAGAGCCAAAAATTTATTTGGATTATTTTGATCTGTCAACCTCACCAAACCTTTATCAAGAACATAGTAAAACAACCCTTTTTTTACGAATCGCTAGAATCAAATAAACGATTAATAAAATATTGGACGGCTACACGACTCTAGCGAAAAAGATTAGAATTTTGTTTAGAGAACTGTAGTGATTATAGTGAGTATTTTAGCCGCTTTGAGTTTAGCCATCAGTACGATAGTGAGTAGTATCGTCACTAGCGTGAGAGGAGCGGGTGTGATCCAGCACCATCGCCGACGCCTCCAACTCCACCAAGTGGCGGTATAAAAGAGTGGATCCAAAAACAACTCACTTATTTACAAACGCTCTGAAAAAACTCAGAGTGCGCGTGTTGGGTGCTCTGCCGGGTATCATAGGTAGTGTTAAAGTTGGATATTAAACGCGTTGAGTAAGTCCGTATCGTGGTTAGCCGAACACGTGTGGGCTTTGTTTTTGGGTGTGGGAGCTTTGGTGTTCGCGTACGTACAAAAACGATGGAAATTGTTTTAAAGTTAAAAAAAAAGTAAAGGAATTAAAAAAGGCCCTTATACCTAAAGGAAGATATACACCACTCTTCCTTTAGGTATAAGGGCCTTTTTTAATTCCTTTACTTTTTTTAAGTTGATCTTTAATGTTATAGGTATCTGTAAGCTAAGACGCCCACCAATAGCATTCCCCCCGCGATAAACACGAGTTCTCTTTCTACTTGTTCGTCGCTAGGCGCAAAACAATTTTCAAGTTTGGGTTTGCGGGGTAACTCGACGTTTTCTCCGGACATTTCGTTGTAGTAACGCAACGCTTGGTCAACATCGGAAAATGCTTGTTTAGAAGCATTTTGCTTTCTGATACGTTCGTTTAAAAAATCGAATCGTTTCGTTCGTTGTCATTGCCATAAATCTCTAGCAGCCGCGACTTACACTCCCCGTCGGCATGACTCTGTTTCAGACTTGAAAATAAAAAGTTCGAACCCGTAAAAGCCAATGCGTTAACTATAGCACCTCCGACCATTATAATAACAGCTGTCGCCATCTTTTAATGTATAAAGCTTTTAGATTATTATTATAATAAATGACGGATCAACTTCAAAAACTGTATTATAGTGAAAGCAGTTATTGGAAAGGTGAAAGTGCCGTCGACCATTTACACGATAAAACAAAAATCGATAAAAATCAGAGCTAGGCTTAGAAAACAAATTTGGCAAATTTATCTACCGGGTCCCGACTACACACCCAGGCCTACGAGTACGTCGCGAGAGTTTGAAACACCAAACGACTTTCATCAAATGGCTGTGCTATACCTACCCTGGGATAAAGTAACCGATGGACATATTTTCTGTGTGATTATTCTGCTGAAAAATCCATATATTGTGATATATGTAATCCACACTTTTTACAATAATACACACTCTGGATCTCGTCGAGCATGATATCATGCTCATATTGATCTGTTTCGAGTGATGATTTTATTGTTGGTATTTTATCCGGCAGTTTATCAAATACCTCAAGGTATTCACTCTGGAAAGGATTCATTTATATACTTAATAATAAAAAATGATATTATTTTTAATATTTGTTCAAGTAGTCATCGGTCTGATTATATTACTCTCCATTTTATATCAAAAATAATTTCTCTACCTATGAAAAGGTAGAAAACTATTTTTTTTTACGCGTAAGGTCGGTTGGACAAGTCACTTCATAAATTTGCAAGTCAAGGTTAAAGTAGACTTGTACCAGTCATAGTCATACAAAGGTTTTTTTTCACACAAGATCAAACATTAAAAATGCATCTTAAAAAATTAAGAGGCAAAGCAAGACTGACAGTCCACAACCAGACTGAGAGTCCAAAACTAGACTGAATGTCCAGAATCGGTAAGTTCCATACTACTTCTGGTCATCACCAAGTCCTGAGGCCTTCAACTGCAGGTGCCGAATGCAGATCGTTAGCAGGGACTGAGGCTAATTGATAATGCATGTTACAATATGATCATTCAATACATACCTTTGTTCTTTCAGCTTTTGGCGGGCATCTCGTATTAGATGGCCAATTTGCTTAGATCTTGTCATGTCTTCTGCGAGTTTACCATTTGAGGATCGTAGATTTGGGTTTATACATTGAACACTCTAAAAAGCAAACAAACGGGTTAAATTGTTTAATACCGACATTCTTATGACAAATCATGCAAACATTTCCATACTGAACTCCACCTTTGCTAAAAAGATTTAAGTTTTTCAATTCATATTTGTCATAACTGCCAGGACTCTCGCAATAACACAAATGAACTATATATATTATTTTACAAATTACTCACACAGATTTATTTAACAAATTTACAAAACATCCAACTTATACAATGAGGAATTGCAAGGGAATCAAATCGAATTCACAGTCAGCTTACATGTAAAACCACCTCAAAATATCAATTCGATGCAATGCAATTAGGGCAGGTTACAAAATCACTGTTTAAAATATCTACCAATTCATTTTCCTTTGTTCACAGTAAATACACCTGACCCTTCAAAATTCCATTACAATATATCTACAATCAAATATCTAAGATCAGTATCAGCATCCAATATAAATATTTATATAACCGACATACAGATCCTTGTCATTTGATGGGTGGAACTCACATCCCATGACATTCGTTATTGCTCCCATTCACGCCAGGGCTAAAAAAATCCCATTCGAAATCATACAATGCTGCCCTATGTAACTAGACACCACAGATACATCCATACACCAATACACAAGATTCAAGAGGGAAATATTTCTGGTTTACTGTAGGTGAAAATGGCATTATGCGAGTCATCGACAACAAAGATGTCATGTCACCATTGACCACTATATCTTAATAGTGAGACTCAAAACATCTTTTGGTCTTCGTGGTCTAGCTTTGAATTGGTTTCACACATCAGTAAATTAGACTAATTCGAAATGGCCCTGATGTGTATGATTTGGAGTGACTTTCTTCCAAAGACAGACCTGGTCAACAAGTCACTGCAGCAGCCAGGTATTGAAAAAGGCACCATGGTGAAGCTCTATGATGGCCTTTTGATGTATATCCAGGAAAGTCAGAATAGATTCTCCAACTTTGAGAGCAGAGAAAAGGACATCAGCTCAAGATAGTACAGAGAAGTAATGCAACGAAATCGGGTAAGAAAAAAAACTTCAAAGAATCAGGCAAAGACGCCCAGAAAGCCTTAGTGCGAGGGAAAGATTCTGTTTGCAAACATTCATTCCCATAGTGGACTGTCTCATTGTTGAGATGAAAAAAACGACGAGCTGCCTATGCCACTCTCAATGACGGGTTTGGTTTTCTCACGGACAGAAATCTGACAACTGATGCAGCAGCAAGCCCAAGGGCGGATCCAGGGGGGGGGGGCCAAAGGGGGCCATGCCCCCCCCCCTAAAACGAAACCAATTTTTTGTTTTGTTTTTATGTGACATTGCAATAAAGGCAGGCAATGAGTACACCACCATCTTTTCCTCAAACAAAATTGGTTAAAGTGGTCAGAAATTGCCTCAGATCGCACCACAGAGCATCTAGAATCCAAAAAATTTTCGGGGCCCTTAAGCGGGCCCCGAACCCCACGCCGTAATTTTTTGACCCACTTTTTGGGGGGAACAAAAATTTTTTTTGGCCCCCCCCAAAAATTGTGTTCTGGATCCGCCCTTGCAATAAACCACATACCATCCAATTTCAATTCACACAACTTTAAAAAAGGGGATTTTGTTTTGGCAAACTGTATCAGGAATCTGGTTATTTCATTATTTCACCCACTGACGCAGACTAGCTGCATGTATACTACATGTAGGAATAAAATTTACATAATGTTTGTCGTTCTGAAGCACACGGGCATTAGAGTTACCAATGCAAGGTGTGGCTTGTTTTACTGGTGCCTAGAGAGTGGAGTAGGGTCTACGAAACACTAGTGCCTAGGGCCTATCCGGGCCTGTATCAGTAGTAAATAGAATGACACTTAGCTGTTTCCTTTCTGGTCAAAGTAGGATCATGGTAATGGAATGCCAAAGAGGCATTTAATGTGATCACCTAATTGGTGATGCACTTCCGCAATCGGTGATGCATATTCACGATCGGTGATGAACTTCTGCGACCGGTGATCAACTAGTTTTACTAGTGATGCATATTCACGAGCGATGATGGACTTTTATGATCGGTGAAGGACTTCGCGATCGGTGATGGACTTTTATGATCGGTGAAGGACTTCGCGATCGGTGATGGACTTTTATGACCAGTGAAGGACTTCGCGATCGGTGATGGACTTTTGCAATCGGTGATGGACTTGCACGACCGGTGATGGACTTTCGTGATCGGTGATCAACTTTGCAATCGGTGATGGACTTTCGCGATCGGTGATGGACTTTCTTGATCGGTGATCAACTTTGCGATCGGTGATGGGCATTTGCGATCGGTCATGACGGACTTTCGCAACCCATGTGATCAGTTTTGCAATCAGTTGTGTTATCACACTGATTTATCAGTTCCTAGCTCCATGATATCCCCATGGCTCTATGATATCACCAACTTTAGAACTGGAGCAATTTTTACAAATTTACATCATTTGTAGATTTTATTCAACTGGTTAATGCATTAATTTGGCCACTGTGAATGTGAAGAGACTTATTTTGTCGGTACATAGGTTACTGTTGTGGTATAGTCCTATTCGGACTATTTAGGTGTTGGGCCTTGAGCCCAATGCCTATTGGTTTTGTAAGATTTTACTGTTTTTATTCTTCTCAGCATATTCTCAGGAAATCCTTCTCCAGAACTGTTTGGAGAAATGGAAACATATATGAACTTCATTTGTCAATACATGAATGCCCAATCCACCGCAGATGGTTTTTTTTGCAATTACGTAATCATGACGCCATCATGGGTCACGTGACGTCACTCGAAGTTTAATAAATTTAATCTTTGAAATTCCATATAAAATCAACCGTGAGAGACCGGAACCTGAAATTTGCAGGAATCGACATGGTAATACATGATCTTCATTTTATGTTGTGCGCGTAAAATCACGTGACCCTTCCTTCCGGTCGAAACCGGAAGTGCCTAATTTAAAAGTGGAAAAAGATATGAACTTGCTTTTAACGATTTAAGTGTCTGCCTGTATTGACCTTTCAAAAAAAGTAATGGGTGACGCCATGAAGTGTTGGAGCGCCCTCTAGCGGCAGGTTAAAAAACGTCAAAAACGCATTTTCACTTGCTTTCTGTGGCGAAGTTTGCGGTAATCGCTTCAGAATTAATGTACATGATGACCATAATGCAGACAACAACTGTGCGCGAAAAAAAAATTGATTACGTCATCAGACAGGAAGTTACAATAAAAAGACCTTTAAATCTTAAAAAATTGCTAGAAAATATACCGTGATAGATATAATCAAGATTTGGCTGTATACAGCACAGTAAAAATAGCTCTGGATGTTTCTGGTAATGACGTCATAATGACGTCATCAAGTATCGTATTTCAAGCAATCAAAGATTATAATCAACCGCTACAGATTTGATTTTGTTCTTTATGGCAATCGATACAATATTGTAGGGTCTTCATGTTTGGTATTAAGTGCAAAATCACGTGACCCTTTCTTCCGGTCGAAACCGGAAGTGCCTTATTATTTGAAATTGGCAGAAGATGCGAACTTGCTTTCAACGATGTGAGTGTCTGCCTAGGCAGTACTGTACAAACATATTACAGGTGACGTCATCAAATGTTAGAGTGCCCTCTAGCGGCAGTTTAAAAAACGTCGAAAACGCATTATCACTTGATGTATGTGGCGAAATTTGCGGTAATCACTTCAAACCTAACATACATGATGAACTTAATGCAGAAAAGACCTGTGCGCGAAAAAAAAATGGATGACGTCATCAGACCGGAAGTTATAAAGAAAAGACCTTTAAACCTTAAACAATTGCTAAAAAATCAACCGTGAGAGATATAATCAAGATGTGGCTATATATAGCAGAGTAAATATAGCTCTGGAGGTTTCTGGCGATGACGTCACAATGATGTCATCAGGTGTCATATTACAAGCAAATAAATATTTCCATATTTAATCTTTGAAAATCAATATAAAATCAACTGCTACAGATTCATTTTGTTTTTTATGGCAATCGATACAATATTGCAGGGTCTTCATTTTTGCTTTAAGTGCAAAATCACGTGACTCTCCTTCCAGTCAAAACCGGAAGTGCTTTATTAATTGAAATTGGCAGATGCGAACTTGCTTTCAACGATTCGAGTGTCTGCCTAGGCAGTACTGTACAAACATTTTACAGGTGACGTCATCAAATGTTAGAGCGCCCTCTGGCGGCATGTTAAAAAGTCAAACATAAACATGCATATTTTGAGTTGATGTGTGTGGCAAAGTTTGCTGTAATCCATGGCCCAACACTGTGTGGTTGTTCCTACAGCCTGTAGTTATTTTTATTTTTCTAAAAACATTATTCAATGTTTTCCTTTGAAAACTCCGATGTGTAAGTACCCCCCCCCAAAAAAAAAAATTAAAAGACTATGCACACTGGTGAATCATTATTTATTAGTGAAAGAATATGTAACCATTTGGGTTAAATAGCGAATGTATTTTCTGTTTGTTTGCACTCCACAATTAAACAAGCTCAGCCACAATACTGATGACTGTGGGTTCAATAACATGTTTAATATTTCTGGGCTACAGAAAATAAAGCCTACAACAGCTGTCATACAAGCAAGGGAATACATTACTTTACCAAAAGATCTTGGAATGTAAACACAACCACACAGAGTTGAGATAAAAATTCCACGCGTTTAGTGCAATAATTGAGCTCAGTTCTTTCTCTTGATAATGATAAGCCAATAACACAAAGCAACAGGTGATTTATCCGCATATTAGGAGGCCAAGCCTGTGTAAAAAAAAACCCTAATGTTTATTTGTCGGTATGTGACATGTGTGTATGGGGGGGGGGGGGGTATAAACTTAACAACTTCCATTCAACTGTATCGTGGAATATGAGTTAAGATTGATTTTGATCCATGACAACAGAGCACAGCCAGTGCTGTAAAAACCCTTCCCTTTTTATAAGAAAATTTACACTGTGTGTTCTGTTGTTGGTGGCTAAACC